GAGCCTGAAGAGGGCGAGGTTTGGGGAGGGACTTCAGTGGGGTATAATGCCATACGGTCCACCTTCAAAAGTGGCCATTTTCTCCAGGTGAACTGAACTCTGTTGCCTGAAGATCAGTTGTAAAAGCGAGAGGTCTCCAGACACCACCTGGAGGTTGGCAACCCTATATGTCACCTTCCCTGTAAAGGTTCCCTTGCTCGAAAGCCAGTCGAGTCCGACTCTAGGGTTGCCGTGCTCATCTCCATTTCAAAGCCGAAGAGCCAGCGCTGTCCGAAGACGTTTCCGTGGTCATGTGGCCGGCATGACTAAACACCAAGGTGCACGGAACGCTGTTCCCTTCCCACCAAAGTGGTACCTATTTATCTACTTGCAATTTCTTGCTTTTGAACTGCTAGGTTGGCAGGAGCTGGAACTAGAGACGGGAGCTCACTCCGTCATGCGGCACCCGGGTCTCAAACTGCTGAACTACTGACCTTCCACAGCCTGCAGTTCAGCGTCTTAACCACTTGAGCCATTCCCTGTACCATTTCCTTTTCCCATCCTCCTAGAAACCCCCATGTACTCCTTTCCCTGTTTTGTTTTCACCTTCCCACCCACCTACCTTTCCCACCTAGCGGTCCCCCGTTTGCAAGAAAATTTCTGTAGTCTGTACATGGCTTCAACCCACAGACGGCACAATTGTTGACTACTGGATGTATTGATAGGAACAGAAGGATTAGGTTCCCCACTGCTCTCACTAGACCCAGGTGCAGCTAAATCGTGAGGCTCAGACTTTGTCATCTGCTATCCTAACCAGTGGGTTATTCTTGTTGTTGGACTACAGTGCTCTACCCTATGCAAGCAACTTGTTAAGCAGTAACAAGGCAGTTAAGGTTCACTGATCCTCTCATGCTCATTCTATTTCAGTGGAAGTATGGAATCCCTGCCAACACTTCCACTGGCTGCTGTTTTTCAGTGCAACTGAAGCGTCACACTAGAGGAAAAAACAGTAGCAGTCCATGAACTCTCATCAACAAAGACAACTTTTATGCAAATAGCCTCTGTTATATAAAAAACCAGCAAGGAAAATAACACGGTAAGCAGGTGACAGTGGCTTCAAGGGGAGATTTTGTCCCCCAAATGGCATCAGGCAGACATTTTATTGTATAGGTGCACCAGCATTACCCCCAAGTTGGTTAGTGAGAGCTCTGGGGAAATAAAGCAAAAGCAATGTTGCTATCTCTCTTAATACAAATACCTTGTTTTCCTAAGCGATAATTTGAACTATAAAATATATTTGAAAGCATTAGGTAAAAGGTAAAGGTCCCCTTGCTCGAAAGCCAGTCGAGTCCGACTCTAGGGTTGCGGTGCTCATCTCCGTTTCAAAGCCGAAGAGCCAGCGCTGTCCGAAGACGTTTCCAATGTTGCTGTCTCTCTTAATAAGAAGACCTTGTTTTTCTAAGCGATAATTTGAACTATAAAATATATTTGAAAGCATTAGGTAAAAGGTAAAGGTCCCCTTGCTCGAAAGCCAGTCGAGTCCGACTCTAGGGTTGCGGTGCTCATCTCCGTTTCAAAGCCGAAGAGCCAGCGCTGTCCGAAGACGTTTCCG